TTTAATTTTATTATATATTTTTTTTGTTATTTGTTCTCCATAAATTTTTGTTTTTTTGAAATGGGGAAAATTGGGATTGGGGGATTAAGGTTAGAAGAATAAGTACCTAGATTTGAATTCAGTATTTTGATATCTTAAATATCATCTCTCTTAAGAGATGATCATTAAACTAATCAGTGATAAATGTTATCCATAAATTTTTAGTTTGTATAAAAAATGTAAGATTCAATTAGTATGGCTTTTAAATATTCACTCTTTCAAGAAATTGTTACTAAACTAATAAGTGATGGATGTTGTCCATAAATTTTTAGTTTGTATAAAAAGTGTAAGATCCAATTAATATGGTTTTTAATTTTTTTTTTCTAGTTTCTAGTTTTAAGCTTTTATTGTTATTAGTAATTAGCAATGTTACTATTTTAAGAATCAAATTTTATTATAAAAAATTATTTTATTAAATTTAATTTAAATATATCATATTTTTTAATAAAATTTAAATAGAATATTAATTACTACTAAATATATAAAAAATAAAAATAAAAATAAAAAATCCAAAACTCAAAAGTGAAGTAAGAGGATACTAAAAAGAAGCCAATATTGTGAAACAAAGAGAGTACACGACACAGTAGACCAGTTAACTCAATTTTTTGTAGGCTGGTGCTTCTTTACTCAATTATTTGATTTAGTTTATGAAATTCTTTTGATATAAACAATAGTTTGTTGATATTACTAAAAAAAAAAAACTTAATTTAGTATAAACTTTGATTTAGTATCAAAATTAGAAATTTAAACTTTTACCATATTGAGATAAAACCTCAAAACGAACGAAAAATAAATTCTCTTTATAAAAAAATGAAGTTTGGCATTTAATTTCTAAACAAAGTTAAGAGTTGAGGTTGTAAACTTTATAGTAAAGATTTTTTATGTTAAGTTTTCAAAATTGATATTTTTATCAATTTTTATTTTTATATAAATTTAAAATTTAGTGCTCCTTCAAAGATTAAACTCAAATAATGTACAAACATCACAGATCAAACATGATTTAATGTATGTTTTAGAGCCCTGCATTACTAAAAATAGTTATTTGTTATAATTGAATTAGTTTTAATTAAAAAATTTTCCATTAGGTAATGCATATATTTTATAGAGTATGTGTGAATTATAATTGATTTTTTTTTTTATATACAGCCTCTCAATAAAAATACCATCTAAAATTGCATGCTAAAAATCAAACTGACAACTAGAATCGTGTGGTAGCAACATTTTAGCACAAGACAAATATTTTCTTTATAACAACCAAAACATTAAGTTTTTCAGAAAAAATTAGTTACTAATCTAAGTTCACACGCCGGATCTTACACACAAGGTTTGCAGTTGGCAGATCTAGCTCGTTTCCTGAATCAGATTTCACCAAATCCTTCAATTGATCCCTAGGGGTTGCAAGGCAAGTTTGAAATGTGGCAAGAATGGGAGGGATTGGCATTGAAAGAGCAGAAAGCACATTGCTCAAATACTCAATATCAACCGAGAGCTGCTGTGCTCCACGATCTGTTATGTACTGAATACCACGGAGCTGCTCCATGTAAAGGGCTGTGGCTCCTTCAGCAACCTGTCCAACAATAAAAGGGGGAAATCAAAAAGGGAAAGCAAGTGTGTGTGCTAGTTAAACTTTGAGCATTGCACGAGAAAAAGCTACCACACCTACATTATAACCAAGGAATTCAAAAGGAAGATTGTTACCTTGAACATCCATTCAGTTGCAAAGAACTGAGCTTCATCATTGTTTGCATCACTGTTAGAAATACCCTCAGCCAGTGGCTCCAACTGTTGGGGCAAAGTAAGAAGATATTCACCAACACTAGTTACATAGGACTGGGGGTATGCACTAAAAGTAGGGAGATGAAAAGCGCCTTGTTCCTCCACAGTAGACCAGATTGGCAGGCGAGAAACATCACTAAGACGTTGCCGTACTTTAGATATGAGGACATCATAGACAAGTTCATTAACTGTTTCAGCAAATGCTGCTACCCTCTGGGATGCAAGAGGAAGTGCATGAAATCGAGGGTCTTTAGACTGCACAGCAGCAAAATTAAATATGAAATCAAATCTTCCATTATGGAAGGTTATTAACAATGTTTAAAAGAAAATAAAAACTATAGTTTTTAAATGTTAGAGGCTTCGTTGCCAGCATAAACACTGTATAACAAGACATCTTATAAAACTAAAAGAAAGTGTAGTTTAAACTTTAAATTAAATTGTATGTCTTCTATTGGGTGGAAGCAACCTAGAAGAAAGAAGAGGGTGAACAAATATGAAGTTATTTACCTGTTCTAATAGGTTAAAGAGCTTCCGGGCCTTCTCAGGAACATCAACAAGCCTCACGGCTGCCACATCCAAAGCAGCTCTTCCGCCCGTGGGTAGTTCCCCATTTCCATCATCATTGGTGATATGTGACTGCTTTTGATCCAAACTTGAACCAAATACTGAAAGAGATAAGCTAGTGCTCAGTCTAGCCAGAGTAGCTCTCAAGGAAGCTTCAAAGACAGATGACCTGCTTGTTAGACAATCTGCAACTGTGAGTATCTGCAAGGCCCCTTGGACAATGGACCACTCCTCCTCATTGGAGATCAAGTCACCTCTTCGTGCATTTGCAGTCCCTTCTTTCTTTTCCAGTCCTATCTCCTTCCTTGAACCATCAACAATGTGATCCACTCCACATACTGTTCTTAGTGACTTGAGAGTTTCTTGGAGTGTAGAAATGTACAGTAACATTATGTCATCAAGTGCAAGAATTAGTTCATCTGCCTCCGAACCACCAGTAAAGTTAATGCACCTCTCTATAGCAGCTTCAAGAAGTAAGATAACTTGAGGAATAGATTCTTCCATTCTACGAACTGTCTCACTGAGTTCAATTCCCTGGGCTCCCACTCCACGAGCAACAGCCCCCCTCAGATCGACACCAGCAATCTCAGAGGAGAGTATTGCCCGTTCCATCTGCCCATACCTAGAATGCATCCAATCATCAGTTAGTTAATAATGGAACAACACCAGTATATAATCCAACCATTAAAAGATGGAGATAAAATTGCAGGAACAAGAAATGAAATAAACACTGGCCAATATAGCTGTCATTTATAAGTAGTCCATTAAAGCCAAACAGAACATAACTCAAATCTCGAGCATTGTGATGAAAATACTGCATGGTTTTAATGCATTTATTTACTATTTAATAAGCTGAATTTGCACTAGGCCATAATCTAGTGAACAGAATGGCTGATCATTTGACCATGAAACAAGGCATTGACCTATTTAGAAAACAGGTGGATCCATAGATTCTGTAGACTAGGTGATAGAAAAAAATAACACATCTCATCATTCTCATAAGACCATACCTCTGTTTAAATGATTCATAGGGAAAATATACTGCCTTCAGTGTATCCATCAAAACACGAACATCAGACTCTGAAAATAAGTGCTGAATATTTCTCGCAAATGTTCCAGTCATATTATGTAACTCAATCAAAGCATCCAGATGCTTTGCCTGAATCTTAATACCCTTGGGCAGATCTCCAGATAAAATATCTAATATACCTGAAGTTATCAAGGAGTATAAGAATTCAATGATCAAAAGCCAATCCTCAACTAAATATCAAACATCGACCATATGAAAACATTAAAGTTGACATAGATGCAGAACCCATTCATTTTTACTAGGTAAAGTCAAAAATGAAAAATAAGAAGCCATAAGGAATGGAAATCCAATGTATGTCACAATCAGAACCACAGAGCATAAGTTACCCCAAAACAACAAATTCCACAACATAATGAGCAACCCAATCATTAATAAAAGATCACTCAGACAAGAACAAAAGAGAACCATCATAATACACTAAATTCTTGCTATCTCCTAGTTACATACTAACTCAACCCACTCATGAAAGCCTCCCTTGCATAAATTACCAACCTAATAGTTACAAATGAAAGAAAAAAAGTATATAACCTAAGCAGAGGTTGCTATAGGAGAGATAGAATAAATTTGAAGATGTCAAAATATGACCTTTAGCCAGAGCTTTTGTTTCAGGAACAACCTCTCCAGCAGCAAGGTTAATTCGGGAAACAAAACTTGAACCCACAGCTGCCATGGTCTCAACTAGTAACTTTGGAACCAAAGTCTTGTAGTCATCAGGAAAAGCAACCATGCACCTGCAAGAGAACAGTTTAGCCAATAATACCATTTTCCCTAGTAATTAAAAAAGATCACAAATTACCACAATTTCCCAGTGATGTGTTCCAATTTCCTACTTAACGCCAAAATGGGAAATAATGAATTTAGCTCAAGATTATTTTTTCTTATTCAGAAACACTTTTTCCTTCAAAAGCATAATGAAGCATTCAAAAACAAGACTGTTTAGCCAAATATCACAGAATGCAAGAAGATAACACCTTATTTCTGAAAAAGAAAATGAAATTGGACATTGAATAGAAGTGTTAAAATTAGATACTCCAACCATGCTCATGATGTTAGTTATCTGATACAAAACCATATACTTCAAATTAAACCACCATTTGTATCTCTCTGTACAGGATAAAGAAAAGCGAATTCAAGGTCACCAACCACATTACTCATTGGTCTAATGTAAGCATATATTTTCTAAAAACAGCACTAGCATTATAAGCATATACTATCTTTCTATTCTTTTGAATAACCAATTCGAAGAATTTTGGACATTGAAACATTACCATTTCCATTCTTGTTCAAGATAGAGTAGTAATTCATCATAGAAACTTGGCAACCAACTAGAGAATGAAACTGTAGGCATAGTTGAATGTAGCTCACTGCTAATTGTTAGCCTTTCAGCTTCAATCTTCTCATTTGCAATCCTATTAGCCCGTTGCTTTGAGTCAAAATCATCCCAAAGCTGCTTTATTGTTTTTAGGTGCACTTTTGTATAATGCAGCTCTAGAGACTTGAATCTTCCAATTCTAATGAGAATTCCCCTCAAGTCTTGTGCAACATCAATCTGCAAGGCATTGATTGGTAAAATGTATTATGCAATTCATAAGAATAAGAGGTTGACTGGAATGCAAGTAGTTAAAAAAAATCCATACAGTGCAAGATCAAGATCCAAAGATAAAATGGTGACCTTGCGAGTGGAAATTGCATCTGTTAGACGGGGCTGCACCATCATGTCTAGCCTATCCTCTAGGACCTCAAGCTGCTTCCTAATATTTGCAAACTCAGCAACCTAAAAATGATATCCACGGAGTGAAAAAATCAGACCTTTAACAAAATCCTTGAAAAACCTCAAACCTTACGTAACAGCAATTATAGAAAGATATTACCTCTCCAACAGCAGATAAGCAATGCCTCATGTTGGCCAAGGTTTCTGCAGCCCGAGGAAGATCACCACTAGCAAACACATCCTCCACTGTAGCACTCAATTGTGTTAACCCTGCAGCATCCTGTTTAATAGATGTTAAAAGTAAAACCATGCATTGCTAACTCAAGAACAGCTATACAAACTCATATGAACTCGAAATCCCTCCCACGGGAGATCAGGATAACTGCTGACGGGTGAAAATTACCTGCAATGTCTCGTATGCAGCTTCCATTCTCTGTTTGACCGTGTCTACTTTAGCAAGGGCAGCTATAGACTCTGCTGAGGATCCCTCCGCCTGCAATTTTCCAATTAAGCTGAATTTAGCTCACTTCCAGTTATTAAAAGATATTAAAACCAAATCTCTACCATGTCAGTTCCCAATTTATACTACACTGAGTTCAAAAGAACATTTCAACTTTCCTGCACTTTCTCAAGATCCAAGCAACGCGAAAATTGAAATAAGATCTCCAAAAAAAGGGAAAAGAAGAAGAAGAAGAACAACGGACCTTCTTGAGCTTGTCGAGGATTCCAGCAACGGAACTGCGGAGGGAAACAGCGTCGTCTCGAAGGCGGAGGACGTCACGAGTGGCACGAGGGACGCGGAGGAGGGCAGAAGCGCTCTGCTCCTCGAGAGAGGCGGCAATCTCTTCGGAGACCATCTGAAGCTTCATTTCGAGATCCACCATGTGCTTGTCGAGCGAGTCCGGAGGGTGACGGCTCTGACACGCCAAATTTATCCATTTCTTGGGATCGAACTTCTCGTCAGAAAACGATCCCAGATCCAACATCATGGTTTCGTTCCGTCCAGTACGGATTGAGGTTTGGAGATCAGAGATACAAGCATATGGAGGACGTTGGACGGGAGTTGTCCGGAAGAAGAAGATTGAAGCGACGTCGTCTTTGCAATAGAAAGCATAAAGAGGAAAACTATTGAATTTACGAACAGTCCTTTTATTTGTCAAAATATGCAATTCAATCCATCTGAAATTTTATTTCTAAATTGATCTTTTTTTCAATAAATTTTTCTATCCCATGCGGTAAAAATATAAGTTAAAAATATATTAATTATTAATATATTTTTATAATTAATTTGTATAAAAAAAATAAAAAATTAATTTTAAATTTATTAACTACTCAATTAAAATTATTTGTATTAAATGTTAAAAATAATTTTTATTTTTATTTTTTTATAAAAATTTATTAAAAATAAAATTAATGTATTTTAACCTATACTCTGAACAAACAAATTAAAAAAATCATATATTTATACAAATGCTTTCCCTCTTAAAGTTGCATAATTCCTATCCCTTTACCATCTCATATGCCTCGAACGTCCGCCTTGAACGCCTGCCTTGAGTGAGCAAGGATGGCATCAAGCTCGCCGTGAACTAGTACACTGAAGTTCAAAGTGAAGGACGCCTGGAGCTGCAGAGGCTACCTTGATCTGAATGAGGAGCTTTACGGGATGGATCACATCAAGGCGGGGATAAACAGAGGTGTAGAAGTGGCGATGCCCAAGTTTAAGGAAAATGACTTCTCAAGAATTAGTAATCTGAGCCTTTTTTTTTTTTCTTTTTTTTTTGGCTAATAATGTCACGAAGAAAATCATAAACTCACGCCTCAATTGCCAATACAATCATTTGATACTAATCTTTCTAAATGAGTATTACCTAAACGTATTAATTTTATAAATCACTTGGTAGATATATCTAATATTTTAATAATAATTAAAATTCAAATTATAGTATTACTATATTACAATTTTTCATTTCCTATCCTAAATTTTACTTGTTCAAAAAAAAAAAAAAAAGTCGGTACCGCTTAGGCATGGGTGGATTGGTGGATTAAAATCAATTGTGATGCTGGTTTACATGGTGGCTGAAGCATTGTGGCGATAGCTGTTGTTTGCCATAATTGTAGTGGTATGATTTTGGCTGGCACCTCTTATACTTGTGGTGGAATCTCTCCTCTTGTGGGTGAGGCTCCCATTTAATCTGCCCAATCCTTACACATTTTTAATGCTCAATCCTTGGTATCACTTGAACCTTTAATCTTAATCTTAAATTAAAAGTTTTAGATTAATAAATACCAACTCAACTCAATTTTTATTAGTATTTTCAATACTTTTATTAAGTCGGATGGTAACATTTGCAATCTCACACATTCTACCCACCCAATTCTAAATTAACAACAAGCTGCGAGGAGAGGTTGGTCAAATGGACTGAGGATTTCAGTATAACAGCCAAAAGCCCGAAAGCCCAAAAGCCCAAAAGTAAGTTTCTTGATGAGCAAGGAGATTAAAATATCTAGATGATGCTTCGAGAACCATCTCCCAAGGGAGCATCTTTCTAGAATGTTGTATCCTCCCTTATCCAGGACCTTCTATCCTCCCATATATATAGTCCCTCAGCTTTTCCCTCA